ATTGATGTGGCTCTAGATCGCTGGACAACATGATCGACCTTGTAAATATCTCTGGACATTTTTTTAGTAAAAGACTTGTCAAAAACCTGTTGTAGTTTTTCTTTTTTTTTCTCTCCCGTTCATTGAAGGACACTGGGCAACAGATTGTAGATCCTGAATGGTAAGGTATATCGCCACCTGCAGGAGTAGGACGCTAGGCACATAAATGACAAGACAGCCTAGGGGCGGCCCCTGCTGGTGGCCCAACCCCCCACTTCCTGACAAGTCTCCAGTTTTTTGCCTAGCATCAAGAGTAGGAAGCAAAAACATTTTCTCTGGAAAAAATTTTCCTTCCGTTTGATTCGTTTTTTTCTTCTGGCAAGTGTCCCCAGGGCGACATGCTGGATGACCATGTATCCTTTTGTAGTCTCCCCTGGGTGACCGACGAGCGCATGCAGACTCTGCCATGGTGGGTCGGCTGCAACATGTGGTTCCCCCTGGGGGTGCATATGACAGGGCGTCCTGGTGATGGAGTCCGGCCTTCCCTCCATGAAGGTATTAAAATTATTTTACCGTGAGTCAAAAATCCTATTTTCTCTCCCGTTCATTGAAAGACCCAGGGCAACCGATCGTAGATCCTGAATGGTAGGGACATCACCAAGCAGTAATACACTGAGGGATGGGCAACAACAACAACCAAACACCCAAAAGGGGAGCGGGGGATGAATGAGTCACACACTGTTTTTTTGTTTGTTTTTTCTGTGGACTGTCAAAAGTTAAAAAGAAAATATTTTACTTTTTTTTTCTAACTTTCACTTTTTGCTGCAATTAAAATTTGTTCATAAATATCATTTTATCTCATCCGCAATTAACGAACATTCCCGAGTCGTCCAAATCCAGAATTTAATTGGCTTTTGGACTCGAATCACAAAAAAACAAAATGAAAAATTCAAAACAAACCGAAACTATTTTTTTGCCGGCTTACATTAGACATGTAAGCCGGCAAAAAATTAGTTTCGGTTTGTTTTGGATTTTTCGTAGTATTATAAAAAACAAAAACTAAAGCCTTTTTTATTTTTAAAATACCTAAATTCCTTTGAAATGTTTACTGTTTCCAATATCATTATCCAGTTTATTTATTCTGCCCCTTAAAGCGACACTAAATCTTAAAAATGCATTCAAGTACCTCAACTAGTAACAAAAATGTAGCTTATTTGTGCATCATTCAGCCGTAGATTCTCAAATCATCTCTGAATTTGTGCTGGCACTGTCCTGCCTTCTGTAGGGTGGCTTTTTTTTAGTTCCCCATGTTCGCTTTTGCGTTATGCTGCCTGGACTCTGTTCAGATTTGTAGAGCCAGCGGCCGGATTTACAGTAGAAGCGTTTCTGGCGGCACAGCTGCTGTCAGATCGCTTCTGTGATCCGGCAAAGTGGCCATCACCGCTGTATTTCCCAGGCTCCGCTGCTCCTCCTACGAGCCTGGGACCGGCATCTCGGGTGTCGGTGGGAAGCAGGGGAGGAGAACTCCCTGTTCTATGGGACTCCCCCCTATGTGACAGCAATTAAAGTTTAAAAAAAAAGTTTTACAAATATTACATTTAATGTAAAAATAATAAAAAACACAAATGTTTTTAAAATCCCCGCGGGCACACGCGTCATCACGTAAACAAGCGTTGGATGCTCCTACATACAAAAACGACAATTGCGCTAAAGAAAGTTGGGTATCGGCGTGCATGACGAGTGAGAGCAATAATTCTATATGAGGCCAATATTTAAACTGATGACCTGTAGGGGCTTTTAAAGCGTATATGGACTTTTTGGGGTACTGAATTCTGTCGCAGTTTCACGGACGCACACAATTTTTAACCTGGGCATCTTGGGTATCTATTCGTTATAACCTCATCTTTTATATTTTACAAAACAAAATGATTTTATATAGTGTTTTGGGGCACTAAATGTAACGTTAAGTGCATTTTTCACTAAATGTTTGGGTTTGATAAGTTGTGCTAATGTCGTGCAACATATAAATTTGCAACTGCCTCCATTTTATTCTATTTTTATATTATATCTATATTTATTGAGTCTTGGCTTTCAGAAAATATATAATGTTTGGGGGTTTTAAGTCATTTTCAGGCATAAAACTTGGATTATAACATGTAAAAAAAAAAGAAAAAAAGACCTTTGTCCTTAAGTGGTTAACTAGTAATGACACCGCAATCGCGTTCTCTGTATGTGCATGTTTCATGAACGTGCATCAAAGCGTGCACTTTTATGCCTGTTCATGAGATGCCTGTGTGTGAACAGGGACTAATTGTCTCTAGTAAACCTAACCTCTATATACTACTACTACTACTACTACTACTTTCTTCTTTCTTCTTTCTTTCTTCTTCTTTCTTCTTCTTCTTTCTTCTTCTTCTTTCTTCTTCTTCTTTCTTCTTCTTCTTTCTTCTTCTTCTTTCTTCTTCTTCTTTCTTCTTCTTCTTTCTTCTTCTTCTTTCTTCTTCTTCTTTCTTCTTCTTCTTTCTTCTTCTTCTTTCTTCTTCTTCTTCTTTCTTCTTCTTCTTTCTTCTTCTTCTTTCTTCTTCTTCTTTCTTCTTCTTCTTTCTTCTTCTTCTTTCTTCTTCTTCTTTCTTCTTCTTCTTTCTTCTTCTTCTTTCTTCTTCTTCTTTCTTCTTCTTCTTTCTTCTTCTTCTTTCTTCTTCTTCTTTCTTCTTCTTCTTTCTTCTTCTTCTTTTTTCTTCTTCTTCTTTCTTCTTCTTCTTTCTTCTTCTTCTTTCTTCTTCTTCTTTCTTCTTCTTCTTTCTTCTTCTTCTTTCTTCTTCTTCTTTCTTCTTCTTCTTTCTTCTTCTTCTTTCTTCTTCTTCTTTCTTCTTCTTCTTTCTTCTTCTTCTTTCTTCTTCTTCTTTCTTCTTCTTCTTTCTTCTTCTTCTTTCTTCTTCTTCTTTCTTCTTCTTCTTTCTTCTTCTTCTTTCTTCTTCTTCTTTCTTCTTCTTCTTTCTTCTTCTTCTTTCTTCTTCTTCTTCTTTCTTCTTCTTTCTTCTTCTTTCTTCTTCTTTCTTCTTTCAAACTAAAACAATACGTGGAGCATGTTTTTTAATATCAGAAGGGGTTTCAAAAATCAGTGTGTCTTTTCACTTTTAAGTGTAAATCAAAGTGTATCACAATAGGGATCCACCAGGATTGTAATTTTGGGGTATTGATAGGGTACAAAGGCAAGGTGGGGGGGCGTAACCTAAAACAAGATACATTGAAAAGACAACTTTACTATATAAATGAATTAGATTAAAACCAAAGGGGGTGTATGCAGAACTAGACCTAGATGTTTTATATTTTACAGATGTATTTTTTTTTTTACTGGTAGAGGATTTCAGAAACTGAAACCATGGTACTGCAGGGAGGGAGTGCTGGCCAATGAGCTACTGTGCTGCCTATAATATTACAGCCATTATTGTTAATGGATGTTGCTATGAGAAGAATAGATAGACTAAAGTAATATGTGGTGCCGGTCATAGAATAAGGGATCATGTGACAGTCTTATTTATACATTTTTGTATTTTATTTATGTTCATATATTTGATATATTTAGATTTAATTTGGTTTATTGTTGGATGCTTTGTGAAATGGGCATATGCAAGATAAGGTTAACATTCTAATTGCAGATAGGTGGATTCAAATGTGCTAAATGAGGAATTGGATATCAGATAAGATATAAGGTGAAAGTATAAGTAAAGATGGATGTACCTCTACATCCAAGTTAAATAAATGGAATTACACTATTAGCCTTCTATTCTGCATCTTTTTACCACGTTGGAGAGGAGGATTGATATATAAAAAGAAAGATTTTGGTGATCGCTATCTACCTATTGAGGACACAGACATACAAACAAATTATTTAGTCAGGTTGACAGGTGCTCTAAAGTGTCTCTCTATCCAAAACTAAACTAAACTAAAATAATTTATTAAGGTACACAGGATTCAGAGATATTTCAGTTATCCTGCCTTCTTATAGCACCATTTGGCCACATGCAAACAAAAACATTGACTATCATGGTATAACCCCTCCCACTCCAAGCATACCTCCTTTTTTTTTTTTTTTGCTATTATCCCAGTAGAATGGATGTCTTTTCTCTACTCAGAAAGCAATAGCTCTGTCTGTACCTGGACCTGACTAAATAATTGCAGAGCCTACCTGAAATGGTACATTTAGACACATTTGAACTACCTGTGGCTTTTTCCAGACCTCTGTGTAAGTTAACCATAGAGCACTTTCTAGGTTGCTCTATGTTGATAAATTCACTTCATTGTAAATTAATAAACTTAAAATAAAATAAATAAAAAAAACTGTCCTTTATCAGCTCACAGGTGTCTATTTTAACCACTAGAAGATGCCTGTAGAGTCCTGTGTAAAATCTTGCTCCAAAGAAACATATGCTGTGTGAATGGGAACACATAACAAACATATAGAGGGAATATCAAAAATGTGGCTGCAAAAGTAGAAATACCCTTTAAAGAGTAATGCCACTTTCTCACAAAATGTGAGAAAATTAAAGTGACATTAAACCCTCAGATTTTTTAACATAAAACAATACTGTAATGTGTGCCTTACTGTAATCCATGGTTGTTCCCTTCTCTTTGCTGTTCTTTCTTTTAAATCTGTATCTCTTCTCATGCTTGGGGAGAACGCAATGGTGAGCGCTCATTGGTCAGCATGGGCACATGACCACACTGACCAATGAGATGTGCTCCTGAGTAGAGGTGGTCAAATGTTTGTGAGATTGTGGAATTACCCTTTAAGCTTGCCCAGGGGGAAAAGACTGAGATCACAGTTAATAAAGAAAATTGGTTCATTCTGATTACTTTGTCCTATACTTAGAATCCATTACAGCTTAGTAAATTGTGCATATTAAGACTTTTAGAAATGTAGCCCTTTGTCAAATTTTGACAAGCTGTATTATTTTTCCTTTTAACTAAAGACACACTTTTGTTCTAATTGTAATATATATTTTTTTTTTTATGTTCAGCGCCTAAGTGAAGGTGCTCTTTCTCCTGATGGAACAGTCTTGGCCACAGCTAGCCACGATGGCTTTGTGAAGTTTTGGCAGATATATATTGAGGGACTAGATCAACCAAGGTATTTTTATTTACTGTACAATATTTGTAGTATATTATTTGGAATGGCACTAAAGAATAGTTGAATTGGAAATTAAAAAGCATTATATTGGGGCTGAACTCGGATATTATACATCATTTATTTCACCATTGTATTCAAAATAACAAATGTGTTTTTAGAGTGTTTGTTTTAAATACAAATTCAGTAAATCTCTAAATTTTACTTAATATGAAAGGACCAGCTGTAATCAGTTAATTTAGGTTTTATTACCTTTGCACTTTACTCCTCAATCTAACACGGGAGCATGCTTACAGGAGGGAACAGACAACTTTATCGGTGTGTTGTTGCTTCTCTATTACATAGCCAGCAGGCTGGTGCAAAGGCGGTAACATCACTGCTTTCATTAACGGAGGAAGTGGTTTCTAGCTGCTCCTATGTTATCAGCCTTCCCTGCTATCTTCTGTGAGCTACAAAACACCTCCCCCCTGTAATGGATGAGAAAAAGGGGTGAGTAGTAAGTCCAAATCAAGAGAGCAGCAACCCTTCTCCATACAGCATGCTAGGTGAGCATTGTTGCTGTACGACAGGACTTTTTACTGGAAGGATCACCAGATGGAAAGAGCCTGAAAAGGAAAATAATCCAGCTACCAGAGGTTTACTAAGCTGCAATATATGAAAATTTTCTAATTGTGTTACACTTTAATTGTAATTACCGGTTGGGATAAAAAATACAATTGTACTCATATCCTATGCTTTTATATACAATATTTTTAAAGGAAAATTGTACTGAAAGAATCATGTAAGTTGTCCTGCATCTCAAGATGCTAGTTGTTATGCATTCATACTGATTTATTATACTATTTTAGTTACTGACCCAGAACAAGCAAGTAACAATTTAAGTCAGAGCACCTTCTATTCAGTACATACTTGTGCTTGATGCATGCTTGCGTTTATATGTGTATGTATGTGGGGACAGGGGGCATTTTTTTGCACTTTCTAAATTATTTTTGTAAGTGACTTTAATTTTTACATTTTTTCCTTGCATTTAACGTAATTGCTATCACATAGGGGGCTAGCAAACCCCCTATGTAATAGCAAAGATGTGACAGATCCCCTTTTATGGAGACATCAGGGGTCTTTTAGACTGTCAGAATGTTTATACTGCTAAAATAAACAGTTTTTCTATTTATGAAAACAAGCAAGGATCTATAATTAAGAAGATTCCCAACTTATTTCCACAAATCAAAATAATTCGAGTATGTTTATTTGCGCTAATTTGAAGACAAAATGAATGCAATAGTGTACAAAATATATATTTACTAAAAATCGGTGCAGAATGAAAATATAATTGGTGACAAACAAAGAATATGGATCAGAAATTTCAATAATTGTGATAAAACAGGTAATGTGTAAAATATAACCACAGGATATTATTTTAAAAAATATCAATGTAACCAATTCAATAACTTTTTAAATGCAATGAGTAGCTTCTTAGTAGCTCACAGAATAAGGACATAAAATGTGCAGATTTCTCTCAGACAACAGATATTCTAAAGCTCCAATTCTATTTTAACAGCACATGGGCAAAATTTGTGACACCATGCACAGAACCGGCTATAAGCCAAGACTATATTCAAGGTAAAGACAAATTTCCACTAAATTATTTTAAGTATACATCATAACTAAACCATTTACTGGAAACTGAAATCAGCTCCCCAAGATTGAAAGATATAATTTATACTGCAGTTTAAAATGATCTCAATTCAATCTAGATGCTACAAGGACTAAATGGTCCAGTTAGATATATATTTAGCTAATTCATTGCCTATAGAAAAATTTACATTTATACTTTACTAGAAATCTCAAAAATCTTTTATCTGAGAGATGTCAGCTTTATCTCAGTGGAGAAACAAGAGATGGTCAGGTTCTCTTTAGTGGATTCGTGGATTTGCAGCTTTAAGAAAGTCTAAACCAGGGCAATTAACATTCTTTCTCCAAATACCTTGAAACTGAAGTCATATTTGTGCCAAGACACAGTGGTTCTCAAAAAAAAGATAAAAAATACAGTGGTATATCCACCTAATTCTATGTACTTAAAATATAAACCCACCATATTAATAATACACACTAATTTATTTCAATGGGTACACTCAAACAATATATAATGAACATAGGTTGGATATTATAAAAGTACATAATAAAAAAAATTACTTGAAATTATTCAATGACGCAGGTATATAGATGCTTCATATGATATAATAATACAATAACATTATTGCCAATATAATTACTGCAATGAATAATAATGTTTCATCAGGTGACTTTTAAATGAGTCCCTTTTTCCAGTAATGAGAGAGAAAAAAAAATGTAAACATTCCATTCTCTTTGTACATTGTCTTAAGTTGAGACATGAAGGTCATCAATCTCATTATAACACAGCCTGGCACCATGTCCAGTCCTTATCTTGTGTTGGTTGTCTGGGCCTCACAATTTACAACCTGGGAAGTTATTTGGTAAGACTCTTAAAATTTTCTGTGAGAATCTTCAACCAGGAAGAATGAACTTGCATTCACCTAATGACAGACAGACAAAATGGCTTCCCTGGTGCCCATGTAAAAATATGTAAAATAATATGTATAGGCCTTTAAATTGATTCCTTTTAGCCCCAATAGTTCTGACTGGACCCTTAATGTCACTTAAGCACTCCAAAGAAGCTGATGAAGCAGCAATCTGGTTCAACAGCTTCTTCTGGTGTCGCTCTGTAATTTCTCCAGCTCCTGTTGCCAGAAGTGATGTAATACACATCATCTCCGGGCCCAGTAATTGGAGAAGAGGTCAGCAGCTGGGAGCTCTGATCAAAGAGGACAGACCCGCCATACTGGTCCCAGGCCCACATGAGGACACAAATTAAAATCAGTACAAATTAATGATCTAAAATAATACTGGTGATGCCAGATGATAAGGTTCAAAATGTGCGATCCATTTTCCCAGTAGGTATGATACTTTGAGGTTAAAACCATAGGTTATTAATCCAAACAATAGTAGTACAGTATCATATATTTCAGTAATTACAACAAGTGAAACTCGGCATGACGTAATGTCAAAAGAATGTACAGAATTAACATGTGACTTCTCACAGCAAACAGATGTTAGGAACTACAGCCGGCTGCCGGCTGATCACTTGTATAACCCTGCATTGTGCGGGGCCCCCCTGCTGCCTCCTCTTTTGCTATTTCGTGGGTGCACAACAATTTAAAGCTTGACATGTTCGGTGTCTATTTGCCCGACGTGACCCCATCTTTAATATTTTACAAAAAAATTGGGTACTGATAATGTTTTATAACATCACATAGGGAAACATTTTTTCCCCCAAAATATTTGGTTCTTTTTTAATTATATAGTAAAAAAGAAAAACCCCAGCGGTGATTAAATACCACTAAAAGAAAGCTCTATCTGTCCCAAAAAATGGTATAAAATTCATTTCAGTACAGCGTTGCATGACGGAATAAATGTCAAAGTACTGGAGCGCTGAATACTGAAAAATGGCATGGACAGGAAGGGGGTTTAACACGACGGTCAGCAAGTGGTTGAACTAAAACAACACTTTGCCACATAGCCACCTACCATGCGTTTAAGTCCCCTTTCACACTCAAAAGCAGTTTCGTTCCGGGACAGCTTAAATCCATTGAAACATTCACACGCACCATCATACATGATGTACTACAAGCTAATCATAAGACTAGGACATATACAAATATGACCAGGGAGAACCGCGACACACTGTCATCTTTATAGCAAGATACCACCATAATCATTAAACCTGCCGATCAGGGTGGTGCTGTGGTTATCATGGATTATTCAGATTACTAAAGCATGATGTTAGGAAATGTCCAAGCATGACAAACTTTGTAGTGTACAAGTGGGACTGCAATCCATTATTGATATAGACAAAGCCAACGAATGATTCCACTGCTGATTTCTTATATAATGAGCATGCACGTTCATTGTATGGCTTACCTAAGGTACATAAGGGGCATCATTCCTATTGCATTCCGTCCTATTGTATCGGGCTCAGGGTCCATTACACAGCCAATGGCCCAGTTTGTAGATTTTTTTTATCTCCAGCCTCTGGTTATTAAATTACCAGCATATATTAAAGACACTGGGGACTTCTTACAAAAACTACACAGCTTTGAACATGTCGATCAAGAGTGGAAACTTGTGACCATGGACATTTCATCTCTATGCACTTGCATGCCCAATAAGGCTGGTCTTTCAGCGGTTGAACATTTTCTGACAGGTGAAGACTGTAATACCTCTTATGATAAATGATGGAACTCAGCTGGGGAAGTCTCTTAAACAAAATACTTATACTTCACGGTATGTCTTCCTATTTCCATGAAATAAATCGGGGGGATTGATTTTAGGTTATGGTGGCTCAGGAGAGTATGCTCTGTTAATTACATTCTGTGAAATGAAAGCTCTGAGTGTCTGATTTTCAGCTTGCACTTCAGTTAATTTTAGAGTGAGGGCTTCTAACCTCTGATTAAATGCAACCATATGTGTTCGGACATCCGCTGGCTCCATACTTAACTCTTCAGGTTCCATCAGACATGCATGATGTTCCATCATCCTTTATTCTCTGCTGCCTTGAGTTACATAGTTGCATAGTATTTGAGGTTGAATAAAGACACAGGTCCATCAAGTTCAACCTATTGCGTGTATGTATGCGATTTTGCATGTGTGTGTGCGAGTCCCTGTGTGATCTTGTTTTTAAGGGTACCCATACCCCTTTATGTTATGGTCTCTGAGGAAGTTGTCTAAATGCTTTTTGGATGATTCCAATACTCTCTGATGATACCACTGCTTGTGGCAGTGAGTTCCAGACTTTAACCGCTCTAACTGAGAAGAAGCCCCTACGTCCCTTGTGGTTAAATCTTTTCTCCACCAATCTTAGGTGGTGGCCTCTAGTCTTTGTTATGAAGTTTACTGTAAAAAAGGTTATTGCTGATGTTGCTATC